CCCCCGGACGCCCCTGGTGGACCGGGCGCAGAGACCGGCCTAGGTGAGTGGCGCAGACGCCCGCCCCCGTCCCTCCCCTATCCCGTCCCCGGGGGTCCCTATCCCGCGACCAGGTCCCGGTCCGCCCGCCCGCCGCAGCTCGCCCGCCCTTCCCAGGCTTGAAGGCCAAGAAGCCGATCCAGACCAAGTTCCGGATGCCGCTGCTGAACTGGGTGGCCCTGAAGCCCAGTCAGATCACGGGCACCGTCTTCACCGAGCTCAACGACGAGAAGGTGCTGCAGGTGAGCGGCCGCCACAGGGCGGTGGATCCTCGCGGCGGTGGCGCGCGTGGGCGCCGCAGCGCGGGTCTGAGCTCGCGCGGCCCCTCTGCCGGGCGGCACAGCTCTCCGAAGGTTTGGGGGTGGAAGCCGGGTCCGTGGCTGGGTCCTCCTCCTCCCGCTCTTTCTTGTGCTGCTTCTCCCGGCTCCCAGGAGTCTTAGAGTGCTGGTCACGCAGGGTTGCTGGCTGGTCTTCGCCGGCGGCTGTGAGGGACAGGCTGGTGGCTTTGAGCACAGTGACGGCCAAAAGGCCTAGGCCCAGCCTCGCCCCCTTCTCTCCGCAGGAGCTGGACATGAGTGACTTCGAGGAACAGTTCAAGACCAAGTCGCAGGGCCCCAGCCTGGACCTCAGCGCCCTCAAGGGCAGGGCCGCACAGAAGGGCCCTAGCCAGGCCACGCTCATCGAGGCCAACCGGGCCAAGAACCTGGCTATTACCTTGCGCAAGGGCAGCCTGGGCACCGACCGCATCTGCCAGGCCATCGAGATGTGAGTGCGGCGGCTAGCTCTGTTTCCAGACTGGGATGACCCCTCCTCCCTGCCTCCTTGCCCAGTGGTTGGCAGCGGGCTGAAGGCTGCACAGCTGGGCATCTGGCACCCCCTTAGCCAGAACCCACTCCTGCCTTTGTTGTCTGAGCATTGATGATCTGCCCATCACGAGAGGAGCAGGGTTGTGAGGTCTTCTCTGCCCCCACAGGTATGACCTGCAGGTTCTGGGCCTGGACTTCTTGGAGCTGCTGACCCGCTTCCTGCCCACGGAGTACGAGCGCAGCCTCATTGCCCGCTTCGAGCGGGAGCAGCGGCCGCTGGAGGAGCTGTCGGAGGAGGACCGCTTCATGCTGCGCTTCAGCCGCATCCCGCGCCTGCCTGAGCGCATGGCCACGCTCACCTTCCTGGGCAGCTTCCCCGACACAGCGCAGCTGCTCATGCCGGTGCCATGCGGGCAGTGGTGGGGCCTGGTGGCTGGGTGGCCGGGTGGCCAGGGGGAGAGGACTCCCACTCACCTTCCCTCCCTTTCCCCAGCAACTGCACGCCATCATCGCGGCCTCCATGTCCATCAAATCCTCCGACAAACTCCGCCAGATTCTGGAGGTGAGCGCCCTGCAGGGGGTCAGGCGGTGGCCACTCTGCCTGTCCTGGGGAGTGGCAGGGACCAGGCCCTGCACACCCAGGGTGCAGCAGAGAGAAGGCTACCACTTGTGACACTGGAGCACCTGACGCCCGGCCTGGGGGTGCTGCGCCAGTAGAGGTCAAGGGACAGTGGAGATGTTGATTTTTGTTTTTTGGAGATTGAACTTGGGGCCTTGTCTTTAAAAAACAAAAATCAACATTTCCACTGTCCCCTGAACTTCGGGTCTTTGGGCATGAGCTATGTTTTCAGCCTTTTAAAATTTTTTTTATCTTGAGACAGAGTCTTGGTAAGTTCCTAAACTACCCAGGCTGGGCTCTTACTGTCAACTCTGCTGCCTCAGCTTCCCAGAGTGCTGGGGTGACAGGTGTGCATCAGTACACCTGGCTAGAGGTGGCTGTTGGAAGGGCAGGGACCTCACAGCTTGGGAGGGAGGGGACGTTAATTCTGGTTTCGGCCAGCATTGACAGAACTGGGTGTGCCACCATGCCAACCCTGCATACCCACAGGACGCAAAACGTGTCAGGGAGTGAGGGGCCCGCTCTGCACGGTGGGGTTGAGTGTGCAGGAGTTGCTGTCCCTGTGCACCCTGCTTTTTCGCGGGCTCCTCCAGCCCCGGTGCCTGCTGATCTCACCCTGGCCCTCGCAGATCGTCCTGGCCTTTGGGAACTACATGAACAGCAGCAAGCGAGGGGCGGCCTACGGCTTCCGGCTGCAGAGCCTGGATGCAGTGAGGAGGGGCCTGGCCTGGGGAGGGGGCGGCCGTGCGGCCTGGGGAGGGGGCGGCTGTGGCTGGGGGCTGATGCATTCCTCACACAGCTGCTGGAGATGAAGTCCACGGACCGAAAGCAGACGCTGCTGCACTACTTGGTGAAAGTCATTGCCGAGAAGTACCCGCAGCTGTCTGGTTTCCACAGCGAGCTGCACTTCCTGGACAAGGCGGGCGCAGGTAGTGGGCTCGGGTCTTTGGCGGGCAGGGCTCAGTCCGGGGGCCCTGGAGTGTCATGGTTTGGGAGAAACTGGGTGCCCTAGGGTGCCACTGGGAAGAGCTGCCTCGACTCCACGCTGTCCCCCAGTGTCTCTGGACAGCGTCCTGGCCGACGTGCGCAGCCTGCAGCAGGGCCTGGAGCTGGCGCGGCGAGAGTTCACACGGCAGGACGACTGCACGGTGCTCAAGGAGTTCCTGAGGGCCAGCTCGCCCACCATGGACAAGCTGCTGGCCGACAGCAAGACGGCCCAGGTGGGAGCCGGCACGGGGAGCAGGAGGCGGGGTTGCGGCCACACCTGGGGTGCAGCAGGAGTTTGGGGGCCACCCTGATGGGGGGTGGTGACCTGCATCCAGCGAGCACTGGGCAGCCAGGCCAGCAGGCCCTAGTTGGTGGCTGACGGCTGGGCTTGCAGGAGGCCTATGACTCTGTGGTGGAGTACTTCGGAGAGAACCCCAAGACCACATCCCCCTCCATGTTCTTCTCCCTCTTCAGCCGCTTCACCAAAGCCTATAAGGTGTGTGGGGGTCTGAGGGCGGCAGGGCGGGGGCGGTGCTGCAGCTGGCCCTGGGCAGGGGCTGTGGGACAGGCAGGGCGCTGGCCTCACCGGTGGCCCTGCCTCTAGGGAGCAGAGCAGGAGGTGGAGCAGTGGAAGAAGGCAGCAGCTGCCCAGGAGGCGGGCATGGACACCTCCGGCCGGGGAGAGCCCCCTGCACCCAAGGTAGGCACCAAGGCAGGCAGTGAGGTAGTGCGGCACCCTCCCTGCCCTGACTGTGGGGAGGAGCTGAGACAGGAGCCCTGGGTGAGGGGCAGAGGTGTGGGGTGCTGATCCTGGGGCCCGCCCCAAGTCTCCACACAGGGCACGGCGCCAGCAGATGGACCTCATCTCAGAGCTGAAGCGGAAGCAGCAGAAGGAGCCGCTTATCTACGAGAGTGACCGTGATGGTGCCATCGAGGACATCCTCACAGGTGGGGCCTGCAGCCGTCCCAGCCTCCGGTGCTGGGCTGTGCTCTCCTCCACAGGGTTCTGGCTGTCTCACTGCTTCCTATTTCCGCCTGTTTTTCTGTTCTTGTTTCTGTCTGTGCCTCATCCCTCAGTGCTCAAGACAGTGCCCTTCACGGCCCGTACGGGCAAGCGGACATCCCGGCTCCTCTGTGAGGCCAGCCTGGGGGAGGAGCTGCCCCTATAGCCCAGGTACCCCTGCCCTGGGAGCAGAGTCTGAGCCTGTCCTGGCCAGTGTGTGCGGGACACACTGGGTTGGCCAACTTTGCAGCAGCCTCCCATGTGCATGCGGCCTGGTCCTTGTGGGTGACCCTGGCCTAGTGCCTCTCCAAGCGGCTCCTGAGCCTGTCTTCCCTGCTCCAGATTTGCGGAACCAGCCCTACATCCGCGCGGACACAGGTCGCCGCAGCGCCCGCCGGCGCCCCCTGGCGCCCACCCTGCAAGTAGCCACCGACCTGGCCTTGTAGCTGCCTGGTGGCAGGTGGATGCTGGGGCCCGGGCGCTCGAGGACAGCTGTGACCCCGCATGTTTCAAGAACCTGGGCCCTGAGACAGCCATACTTGGTGGGAGCCTGGCTTGTGACCTGTGAGGCCACCTTGCCGGCCTGGGCCTCGGCCCCAGGACTCTCCCTGAGCCTTATTTTTATACGAGAGTAATAAAGATGTTTGCAGAAGACTCGCGTCATCTTTGCCTGCTCTTCCTCTGTCATAGTGTCCCTGTGTGGGGTCCCCTGGGCCCCCTGCCCAGCTCCCTGGCTGCCTCCCTCCACAAGGCTCTGTCCCATTTCCTGGGTTTTGCTCCCACTCTGCCCGCCCACTGGTGCCGCTGCATCTGTGCTCCCACCTCCGCACCCTCTGCCTGGCCCTCATCCTAGTCCCTGTCCTCAGTGCGGGGTGGGAGGGCTGGAGCCGGGAGAGGTAGGCGAGCCGGCCCCGGACAGAGTGGCCTCTCTTCCGTTTCGGGGACCCACACAGGATGGGAACCCTCTTGTGTTTGGCCTGGGACTCAGGAGAGTGACCCAGAACGCAGGGTTCCAGTCTGGGTCTGCAGGGTGTTAGGGTCCTGGTGCGGAAGAGTGTATGCCCCAGTCCTTCTGGGGAGCTGGAGACAGCCCTCCCCGAGATGTGGGACACCAACCCTGGCCAATGAACCACTTTAGACAGCATCTCGAAGCACAGCGTGTGCAGGTTGCAGGTCACAGATATGCTGGGGACGCCCTATTGCACCAGCCCTGCCCGTCACACAGTGGGGACATCCCACTCCGTCACCTGGGCAGAGTGCCTGCCCCAGAGAAAGGCCACCCTGCACATATCTCGGGGCCATGTGGTGTTGCACAACCCCCAGCTGCCAGGGTGGTGGGTGGAGCCTGCTCTGGGGGGAGCCTTAATCCGGGAGGATTCACTCAGTGGCAGTGTTCAGGCCATGGGATAAGGGTAGGCTTTCTGGAAGAGGAAGCTTTAAAAAAAATAGGACACTTGTCATCTCACCTACTGGGAAGGCTGAGGCAGGAGGATTGCAAGTTCCAGGTCAGCCTGGACAACTTAGACCCTCTAAAAAAATAGTAAGGACTGGGGATGCAGTGCAGTGGGGAACTCTTGTCTCTTGTGAGGCCCTGGGCTCCATCCAGAATGGTAGGCAAAAACCAAAAAGCACCGCAGCTCTCATGGGCATCAGGACGGTGCTTGGAGGTGGCCGAGGACGGAGGTGGGGGAAGACGCAGGGGAGGGGTGGGAACCAGGCCCAGTCTGCCTTCAAAGAGCCTCACCCCCGCTGGTGGGGCAGCTGGAAGCTTGTGATTTGCAGGGCACTTCCTGCCGTCTGTGTCCATGGCTTGCAGACCTGGACGCTAAAGGTTGACGTGCCGCAGCATGGTGAGCCCTACGTGGGATCTGGGAACCTGGGCACGGGGGTCCAGTCCTCAGGGCAGCAGTGGCTGCTTGCGAGTCCCAGCTGGCAGCCTGCTCTGAGCCCCCGGCCGGGTGGTAGCAGGTCCTGAGAGCCCCTGGTCATGTAGAAAGTGACCACTGAGCGGGCTCTGACAAGTCAGGACAGGCTGTTTGGGGAGCGGGGACCCCTTCGCCTGTATGCGGTGCGTCTGGGAACTGACTCTTTCCTTCTTCCTTTCCTCTTTTCCATCCTGTCCACTTACCCACGCTCTACACACCTTTGTTCACCCTTCGCTCTGGTACCGGGCTGCACTTCCTGGTGTTTACCCAAATGAGGGAAGCGTGAACCATGCGAAAACCTGCAACCTGCAACCAGGTGTTCACGGCACCTTTATTCTCAGTCGCCCACACTTGGAACATCCAAGGTAACTTCAGTGGGTGAACGGATAAATGACCCACGGCACATCTGGGCAGTGGCTGAGAGGCAGTGAGCTACCCTGCCACGAAACGGCCTGGAGGAAGCTGAACTGAACACTCCTAAGTGAAAGAAGCCAACTTGAAAAGCTCATTCTGGAAAAAACAAAACCACAGCAGAGGTGTTGGGGGCAGGCAGGGTCGCCAGGACAGCAGGGCCTTTCTGTGTGACACTGCAGTGGCAGACGCTGGCCACTGTACCACTTGTCAGAGCCGGCAGGCAGCTGGGGCTGGGGCTGGGGCTGGGGCCATCCGTGCTGGTCACTGTACCTCTGAAGCAGGAGGCTGTGTGGGCAGGACTAGGAGTTTTACTCTGCACTTTGAGCTCAGTTTTGCTGTGCACTTAACACTGCCCTAAAAAATAAAATTTATTAAATAACAACATGCCATCCAGACAGTCCAGAGAGCCCAGTGTCTCTTGGCCAGGCTTCTAGGCCACCAGGCAGGCCTCTCCTGCTGGTGCCCCTCAGCTCCCTGCCCTCTGCCCTCTACCCCAGCCCTGTCTGAGCCCAGCTTCCAGGCCCTGGTCCCTCCTGTGCCTCTCCCAGCTCCTGAGACGCATGAAGCTGAGCACCTGAGGCCCACAGTTGGTCCAAAGCCCACCAGGGCCCTGTGGCCCATCCCCTTCCCCGCCCCTCTGCACCCTCCCCACGCCACGCCCCCTAGGGCTGGACAACCCCACGCGGCCTTCCCCAGGAGCCACAGGCGGCCTGTGCATTTGCATGTCTTGTGTGCATGACTTTGGTGGACATGCGAGTGCCCTGGCGAGTGTGCCGTGTGCTTCCTGTGTGTGTGTGGGTGTCTCTGTGAAGGCTGACGGGGTGCACGTGTGTGGGTTCCAGGAGGACAGGCACCGTTACACATGGGCTCTTCCTGGTTGTAGAGACTGAACCTAGCACCTTGCACTGAGTGACATCCCCAGCCCTTTTTATTTATTTTAAGACAGGGTCTCACTAAGAGGCCCAGGCTGGCTTTCAACTTGCAGTCTTCCTGCCTCAGCCTCCCAGACAGCTGGGATGGGCTTCTTCCCTGCATTTTGGGTACCTCTGGCTCAAGGCTTTCCCCTTGGAGGACCGTTCGCCAGACCTCAGTCTTCCCTCCTCCAAGCCCTCCCATCAGGCCTTTCCCACAGAGGGACAGGAAGGACACCCTTCAGACTCGCTGGCTAGTGAGTGTATCCCTGGCTTTGGGCCTAAGAAGCTGAAGGCTCAGAGAGGCTCTGCGGCCCCCCAGGCATGTCCAAGCCCAGAGATCTGGCTAGGTGGCTACAAAGGGACTGCCCCGGGAGTGAGCAGGTGAGACGCATGGCCAGGAGCAGTGTGGGCCGGCAGCTGACAAGGGGTGTCGTCCCAGGGCTCACTGCTCAGGAGCATCACACAGAGGGTGGAGCTGGGCCAGCACTGGAGGCTTTACTGTTTCTGGTAGTCACTTCTCCAGGGTAGAGGAGGACGACATCTTAAAATGGATTTTCAGCAATAATGGATTCCCTTTCTTGGTCCCCTGCACCGAGCTGCAAGACAGAGAGAGTACTGCTAGGCTGCCTTGAGGGCTGGGGGTGGGGCCCTGGGAGATGAGGGCTCCTGCTCCCCACACCTCCCCTCCTGTGTCTTTGTCATGGGCACTGAGCGCCCCATTCCTTCCACTCCCAGAGGTGCCCTGACCCCGCAGGGCAGACACCGGCAGAGCAGAGCCTTCCTGACCTGTCCTGTGGCCACTCTCCTAGCTCCCTACCCTGGCCCCACACAGGGAGCAGCCCTCTAGCCCCAGGCCTCTGAGGCTGCCTGTGCCTCAGTCCTGCACCTCTGTTTCCTGGAATCTTGTTTCCACGGGCTCTGTGAGGTCACTGAGGCTGGGGCGACATGTGCATCCCCTGCCACCCTCACCCACAGCGGCCCGGCCTGAGGCTGCTGCACTCACTCTTCGTTGGCTCCCTGCAGCTGGGGGGACTCGGCTCCGGTCTGGAGAAACTTCACTTTCCCTTCGATGGTGGCACTCTGGAGCCCTTGGGTGCTGAAGTCCAGGTAAGAGAAAAGCTGATGCTTGTCTTCCTGACCCCCAGCTTTTGGTGGCTTCTCCAGCAGCTCTTCCTTGTCCAAGGTGGGCTGGGTGGGCCTAGGTGAAGGCTCCACAGCCCCCTGGGATGGAGCTTTGCTCTTATGTCCCAAGCTGGGCAGGTCCATGCAGCTGGAGGAGGCCACGGCTAGGGCTGTTGCAAAGTGGACCACCTCTACCAGCCCGATGGTTTGCGGCTGAGGTCCTGGCGGTGGCTGGAGGCCTGGCGGTGGCTGGGGGCCTGGTGGTGGCTGGGGGCCTGGCGGTGGCCGGGGGCCTGGCGGTGGCCGGGGGCCTGGCGGTGGCCGGGGGCCTGGCGGTGGCCGGGGGCCTGGCGGTGGCTGGGGGCTTGTGGCTGTGAGAGCTGGGCAGGCGCTGGGGCCCGTGGGCTGCTTCTCTGACACCGGCCCCAGGCGCCTGGTGCTCTTTGTGCTGCCTTGATTGCCCTGCCTGCCCGTCGCCCTCTGCAGACTGTGGTCTGACGCCTGCACAAGCTTGTCGGCCCAGAACAGATGCTTGGAGGTCTGGGTACAGCAGCTCTTGGGGGACACTGGGGCCTTCTCCCTGACACACTGGTGCCTGGGGGCCGCTGGCCGCAGGGAGCTTTCATGGCACAGTACCAGGGTGGTCACCTTCCAGCAGTTGTCCTGGGCAGGCTCGGGCTCGGGCTCGGGCTCAGACTCGGGCTCGGGCTCGGGCTCGGGCTCGGGCTGGGGCCAGGGAGCTGGGCGCGGTGACGGCTCCCTCTCCAGGCTCTCCAGCTCAGGGACTGAGTCTGGATCCGGCTCCTGAGCTAGCAATTCCGTCTCCAGCTGGAAGGTTTCAGCTAAATGCTATGGGGGCTGAGCTGGGTACCCCACCCAGGCCTTGTGGTGCCCCTCCCACACCTAGTGTCCCTTTAGGAGCCCTCTCTGGGAGGTGGTATGGGCAGGGGTCCACACTGGTATGGCCCGAGGGTTCCTGGAATGGTCAGGAGCAGGAACCACGGGCTCCATGGGGCTCCCTGCCTGCTACTGCCCCAGGAGAGGTGACCCCAAAACTCACCGCAGTCCTGTCTCCCTCTTGTGCCACCTGGGGGTGGAAGCTGCAGTGGATGAAGTCGATCCTGAGGTAGAGGACTCTGGGTGGGTGTGGCCCCACAGGCAGTGGTTTAGGGCAGGAGGGCCCTTGCTTCACGCAGGGCTGGTGAGACGGCCTGGCTCCCCACTGCCACAGGAGCTCTAGGGGCTGTTCCTTTTTTATTTGTGGAACCTGGTGCCTCTACTGCTAGGCTAGTGCTGACCACTGTACCACATCCCAGCCCATTCTTGAGCTTCACAGAGCTCAGGACCCGCTGTGGAGCTGGACAGCTCTTCCCTAGCTGCTGAGCTGGGTGCAGGGGCAAAGCTGAGGCCTGGCACCTCCGTCCAGCCCTGGGGGAGCTGGTGAATGGGAAGTGGCAACACCGCCTCCTCCCCAGCTGCCACTCCTGGCTGGAGGGATCCAGAGAGCTGACCAGGAGGTGCAAGTGGAGATGCCCTGTTCCCTGGTCTCCGTGCTTGGGTGTGGTGACCCCACTCCTGCCAGGTGAATGCCACCCCACCTCAGACAGGGCTCCCACGCAGGTTTCTGCTGTACCTGCACCCTGACCCCTTCTCACGTCAGGGGCAGAGGCAGAGACAGAGGCTGGGGACCAGCACCCGGGCCTGGGGAGCTCTGGAAACAGGCAAGATGGAGGAGGCCCTAGGTGTGGGGTGTAGGGTGCTGGGTCCGGTGGGGCGGGGCCCTGTGGTGAGGGGTTCGTTCTCACTGGGGCTCCAGGACCTCCACTGCCTCCTTGCCACAGCAGGGGAACACGCCGCCACCTGGTGGGAGAAGGAGGTGAGGGCCCAGCTGCCTCCACCTCTTCCCCTCCCCGCGCTGTGGTTCTTGCCCGGCCCTTGGCTGGCGCCTGTCCTGCTCCCACAACCATTCCACCCACATGCCCTTTTGGCCTCCTCGGGCCTCTGGGGTCTGCTGTCACCATGCCCTAAGTTGACTCCACAGCCCACCCTCCCACTGACGGAGGGCACAGTGTCCGGCCCAGAATGACCATACCCCTCCGACAGCATCCGCAGGGCTTAACGGCTGCCAAAGTGACCTGCACACAGGCTGCAGAGCCCTGGCCCTAACTGCCAACTGTGGAGCACAGCGAGAGACTCATCGCAGCTCTTGGGGCTGGAAGAATAACCTGAAGTTGACCTGACCTGGGGCCTGACTGCACCTGACATAGGAGTGGTCTGACGTGGATTCAAGTGACACTCTGTGATATATATCAAATAATTTTTTTTTTTTTTTGGCTTTTTTCTGGTACCAAGAATTGAACTCAGGACCTTGTGCTTGCCAGGCAGGTGCTGTGCTGCTGAGCTAAATCCCCAGCCCCCTATATCAAATAATTTCAATTTTCAGTTGTGTGTATACAGAAACATATTAGTCTTGTTCCCATGCTAAAATAGTAGTTCTAGTAGCCTTTTTTGGAGGGGGTCAAAATTAGGGTGTGTGGAGATACATCCCTAGTCTCTTTATTTTTTTTGTCTTTTTGAGACAGGGTCTCACTATGCAGTTCAGGATGGCCTTGAGCTCACTTTGTAGCCCAGGCTAGTCTTGAAGTCACAACGATCCTCCTGCCTCAGCCTCCTGAGTGCTGGGATTATAGGCGTGCACCACTACACCTAGCCTCTATTTTTTTTTTTTTGAGAGCATCCTGTTGGGTTGGTTAGGCTGCCCTCAACCTCCTGAGTAGCTGGGTTACAGGTGTGCACCACTGTGGCTGGCTCTGGTAACTTTTACAAGAATATAAACCACATAGCACCCTCTGCACAGACTTCCCAGTCTGGACTCTCCTCTCTGTCTTGCTTGATTGCATTGGGAACCTCCTCCATACAACGGTGACTAGGAGGGATGGCACATCTTTGCTGTGTGGGCAAGTATTTCACCACTAAGCATGATGTTAGCGGTAGGTTTTTTTTTTTTTTTTTTTTTTCATAGATGCCTTTTATCAGGCTGAGGAAATTCTTTCCTGGTTTGCTTGGATTGTGTCTAGGGATGCAGGATTTTGTTCAGTACCCTCCCCCTTTTTTTGCATTTATTGACATAATAATTTTTAAAAAACTATTCTGTTAACATACTGTATTTGTCATATATGTTACAATACATTAATGTATGGGCTAAATGGTTTCTCTTACTGTTGTATCAGTCTTGCCTTACTAGGGGTAAACCAGATATCCTTTCTTATACTATGTAATCTGGTCACATTTTTTGGTTGTAGGGACTTCACATTGAGCTACATTTCCAGTCCTTTAAAAAATTGTTTTACGGGCCCAGGGATATAGCTCAGTGGCAAGGAGCCTGCCTGGCAAGTGCAAGGTCCTGAGTTCAATTCCTGGTACCAAACAAAACAAAAAAAAGAAACCAACTAAAAAAAAAAAATATTTTGAGACAGGGTCTTGCTAAGTTGCTAAATTACCCAGGCTGGGTTCAAACTTGTGATCCTCTTGTCCCAGGCTCCCAGAGTTCTGGGATGACAGGTGTGTACTTCCATGCCAGGCTTCGTTAATTTTTTTGGATTTTTTGCATATATATTTATGAGGTCCATTGGTGTCTAATTTTCTTTGCTTGTAATGAGCTTTTCAGATATTGATATGAGTAATGCTGGTTTCATAGAATGACTTGAAAGTATTTTCTCTTCAATTATATAATTTTTCTGCAAGTGAAGGTTTTGAACTTGAGCCTGGAGATATGGGATGATTGTCAGTTATATATTTAAATTTAAGAGCTAGGTAGAGCTAGGCATTGATAGCACATTCTTGCAATCTTGGCATTTTTCTTTCCTTCTTTTTTTGTACGGGGAATCAAACACAAGGCCTTGCGTTTGCCAGGCAGGCGCTGTGCTGCCGAGCTACATCCCCGGCCCTCCAAGCACTTTTCAAGGCTGAGGCTGGCAAGTTTGAACTCAGCCTGGGTGATTTAGTGACTCTTGTCTCAAAATTTTACATATATATAAATATATATCTGGAATCTAGCTTAGGGTGAAGGCCCTGGGCTCAATACTGAGTACTGATCAAAACCTGCCCCCCAAAATCTAGATACAGGGCTGTTTTTTGGCTATTCTTTTTTAGTGTGGTAATATATATATAACCAAGTTGACAATTTTTAATGTTTTTCTCCTTTTATTTATGTACTTAACTGTGGGGGCTGAGCCCAGGGCCTTGTGTGTGCTCAGCCATGCTCTATACTGAGCTGTATTCCAGCCCCATTTTAACCATATGTGAGTGTACAGTTTGGGACAGTAGGTCCAGTCACGGCTGCACAGCTGTTGCCACCACCCAGCTCCAGAACTGCTCTATTCTTTTTTTGTTTGTTATTTGAGATGGTCTTCCTATGCAGTTCAGATTGGCCTTGAACTCACTGTATAGCACAGGCTGGCCTCAAACTCAGTGATCCTCCTGCCTCAGCCTCCCGCATGCTGGGATTACAGATGTGCGCCACCATGCCCAGCAAGAATTGCTCTATTCTTGAGTGAGGTTTTGGAATTTGTATCTTTTAAGGAATTGGTCCATTTTATATAAACTGTCAAATTGATTGACATAAGTTATTCATGGTGTTCCCATATTACCCATTTTGTATTTGTAAAATCTGTAGTGATATTATTCCTTTTGTTCCTGATGACTTTTACCCTCTTTATCTTTGGTTAGGGATTTTCCAGCTTTAGTGATCATAAAGAACCAGCCTTTTTGTTATGGTTTAGATACAATGTTCCCTAAAAGTCTAACATCCAGAGGTGGGGCCTGGCCAGAAGAGTGGTCACTGAGGACATGATTTTATTTTTTTGTTTTTGAGACAAAGTCTCACTATGCAGCCAGGCTGGCCTTGAATTTACTATGTAGCTGAGGCTGGCCTTAAACTCAGTGATCCTCCTGCCTCAGCCTCCCAAGTGCTGTGTGCCACCACACCCAAGCACTGAGGACATGGCTTGGAGTGTATTCTGATCTTGGCTCCTGCCCTCTCTCTGCTTCTGGGCCACCGTGCAGTGAGAAGCTCTCTCCTGCCATGCCGTTCCACCTTGGAGCCAGCTGACCGTGGACGAAACCCACTGCAACTGTGAGCCGAAATCTCTCCTCCTTTAAGTTGTGGTTAAGTCAGGCATTTTATACTAGCGAGGAGAAAGTGACAACATGGAAAATGGTACCATGAAAGGGGGTCCCTGATGTGACTGTACCTGACTTCATGGTTTAGCAGCCTCTGGAACAGGTGCGCAGAAAGAGTTTGGAAAGGTTGGAGGTGTAGGTTAGAGCAGCCCTGCAATGTTGTGAGCACAGCCTAATGGGAGACTCTGGTCAGGGCGCAGAATGCTGATACAAAGGCAGACAGTAAAGGCCAGGCTCAGGTTCATGAGGGTTCAGCTGGGAACAAGGACGCCATTGGCAACTGGACTAAAGGCCATGCATGTTATGCTTAGGGAGAAAATCTGTCTACATTTTACCCATGTCCCTAGACCGTGAGAGAGATGAAGGAGGCAGACTAATTAATCTGGCAGAAGAAATTTCAAGCAGCCTAACTTTCAGACTGTGTCATGGATACTGCTGGGCGCTTCTAGTCAGATTTCTTTTTTTTCTTTCTTTTGGTCTTTTTGAGACAGGGTCTTCCTACACAGTTCAGGCTGGCCTTGAGCTCACTTTGTAGCCCAGGCTGGTCTCAAACTCGCAACGATCCTCCTGCCTCAGCTTCCCCGAGTGCTGGGATTTCAGGCATGCGCCACCATGCCCAGTTTTAGTCAGATTTATAGCAGTAGCAAAGAGCAAAACTGAATGATTTCAAAAACTGGCAGTTTTACCAGAAAGGAAGTGTCTGCCAAGTTGGGGCAATGGAGAGCTTGGTTGCTGAAAAGATTAGCATTAAAGATAAACTAGGTGGGCTGGGTATGGTGGTGCATGCCTGTAATCCTAGCACTCAGGAGGCTGAGGCAGGAGGATCACTGCAAGTTTGAGGCCAGCCTGGGGTACAAAGTCTGTTTAAGGCCAGCCTGAACAGCATAGTGAAACCCTGTATCAAAAAGACAAAAAACAAAACAAAACAAAACAAAACAAAACAAACACAACTCAGGTACTCTGTACAGGGGCAAGAAAAAAGACGCCTTGAGGGCATCTCAGATATTAGCAAGACCCCACACATTGCAGGTTCAAGGGAGAAAAAGTATAAACTTTCATTTGAGAACAGAATCCCTGGATTGCCTGTTCATTCAGGACTGCCTAGGGGAGTGTATCCCCAAATTCAGCGGTCCAGGCAGTCATGGCCAAAGGGGGCCCAGCCTCTATGAAAAAAGTATGGAAGAAAAGAGTTTTGACAAATAGAATTGGAAAATAAAGCACAGAGAATACGCCTAGGAGTGGAATCAAAATATCAAGATAATGTGAAAGAAAAGGACCAACAGGAGATCCAGTTATGAATTCTAAAATGAGATCCAGCAAGAAAACATGAAAAAAATAAAAATTTTTCTGAGCTGAATGGAGGATGTCATTGCCTTAAAAGAGCTCAATGAATGCTGAACACCACTTGCTTGAATAGTCTGGGCACTGGGCACACACCTGTAATCCAGCACTTGGGAGGCTGAGGCAGGAGGATTGCTGTGAGTTCAAGGCCAGCCTGGGGTACATGATGAGTTCAAGATTGCACGAATGAACAGGCAATCCAGGGACTCTGTTCTCAAATGAAATTTTATACTTTTTCTCCCTTGAACCTGCAATGTGTGGGGTCTTGCTAATATCTGAGATGCCCTCAAGGCGTCTTTTTTCTTGCCCCTGTACAGAGTACCTGAGTTGTGTTTTGTTCAGCCTGAATTACATAGTGAGACCCTGTCTCTGTCTAAAAAAAAAAAAAGAAAGGGAGGCTGAGGCAGGAGGATTGCTGTGAGTTCAAGGCCAGCCTGGGGTACCTGATGAGTTCAAGGCCAGCTTGAATTACATAGTGAGACCCTGCCTCTGTCTAAAAAAAAAAAAAAAAAAAAAAAAAAAAAAGGGAAGTCCATTACATCAAGAACAAAGAAAGCCTGAATATTTCAAAAGAGGAAAACCCAATGATCCACATGGGGAGGAAAATCATACTGGCAGAAGAATTAGCAATGAGTGCCTTTAAAATTGAGGAGAATACATTTTACCTCAGATTTTTATACCTAGCCAAACTGTCACTTCAGACATGGAAAGACAGAGAAAAAGTATTTCTCTTTCTTTAAGAAATTGAAATTATGTGTTAAAGCAAAATGATTGTGTGACCCAAGGAACCAAGAAGGGTGCGGTTTGCCCTCCCAGCAAGGGTCAGCCCCACATGGGAGCTGCAGAGAGGCTGAGGGCCAGTTCACACGGAGGCAGGAGGGTGGAGGGTTCAGGCAGTAAGTCTGAAGGAGGAGAACATGATGAAATACTTGACCAGGAGAATTACTTGCAGAAACACTACGATAACAGCAAAGGGCTTAAGAACAGCAATGAGAAGCTCTGGGAGAGGCAAAACGCCGCCTAGGAGAGAAAAAGTTAGTGCAGCAGCTCTCCTGGCTCTGCAGTGAGCAACAGTCACAGTAAATCAGAACTTGTGGGCTGGGACACAGCTCAGGGGCACAAGCGCCTGCCTGGCAAGGGCAAGATCCTGAGTTTAATTCCTGATACCAAAAAAAATTGGAACTTGTACATGAACTTTCAGCTTTTAGAGTCAGTACACACACAGTATTTGGGAAACATGACTGTGATCACAGGACAATGTAAATGTTACCAATCTTGGTATTAACAACTAAAAATGTGGGTTAGAATTTTGGGGAGGAAGCAAGCAAGCAGGAAAGCCGAAGAGAAAGACAGAAAGCGAGGGACACTAAAACATTACCTTACTGTTAACGTGGGTGAAAAATAAAAATCTAACTGCATCCAGCTAACCAAGGGCCAGCAGGCTGAAACTGGCGGTGGTGGGGACAGCGGTGGCACTCGCACCCGGGGCAAGCCTGTGGGCGCGGAGATGAGGGCGCCGAGGCAGAGCCCTTGTTCCAGGGAGCACCTGGCGCTGTGAGGAGCGGCTGGGCTGTGGGGGGCCCTGCTGGTCGCCAAAGGACCCGCTCAATGCTCTCCAGCTTGGCCGGAAGTGCGGAGCCTCAGCTCAGGCGAGGCTCTGCAGTGGGGCTCCACTGGGAGAGGAGCAGACCGGCCCGCCCCCATGCTGCTTTCCAGCCTGTTTCCTGTCCTCATTCCTGCTCAGCCCCAGACCCAGCCTCCAGCTGCCGCCTGCACCTTCCTCCTCAAGGTGACTGGGACTGGGGAAGCACCCTGCGCCATGTGCTGCCCCCATGCTCCCATGTCCTGTTGCGATGATGAGGGTTCAAACGTCCCCAGAGGCCTTTGGACCCACCCATGACACTAGGTGATGGGCTGCTCGTGAGGTGGCTCCAGACCTCCTGCCGCACCCTAACTCTAACCCTTTGGGGGCAAGTGAGGGGCTCACTTTACATCTCTGTCTAGCAGGGCATCTGGCCCAAGGTGGGTGCTCAGCAAATGTCTTTTCAGAGAAACAAAATTCCTATCCTTATTCCACCAAACTCTGGGGTTTATCCTACATTTCCTTGTTTTTTAAATTTTGAGAGGGTCTCACTAAGTTGCTTGGGCTGGGCTTGAACTTGCGACCCTCCTGCTTCAGCCTCCCAGAGTGCTGGGCATGCACCACCACGGGCTTTACATTTTTCACCTCTACTTCCTGTGCATTCAGACCAGCAGGGCAACATGGCTGCCGGGGCCGAGGGTCTCCCTTGCCAGCCCCTTGCCCAGCTGAGCCTCCACCCTCACTGAGACTAGAAAGCCGAGTGTGTGTGCCGCCTCACTCTCACAGCCTCCCGACCTTCCCAGCTGCGATGCTGGTCTCGGATGCAGCTCTTTGCCACCTGCCTGCTTCTCTGTCTCCCAGCACCGCAGCGCATCCAAACCGGGGCCTCCCTCCTTCCGGGCACTGTGGGGCTCCGACCCGTCTGAGAGGAGGCAGTGTGCTGCTGCCCAGCATGCCTGGCTGGCGCCAAGCCCTCAAGGGGCTGTGCTGTCTGAAAGGCTCAGGCCTCCAGCCAGTCTTGGCAGCCACGCCTGCCTCTGGCCAGGCCAGCTCCAGGCGGCCTCAGAGGTGCTGCGTGGTGCTGCTTCTGCCTCCTTTGTTCCCTTGGCCTCCTGCTGCCTTCTCTGACTGAGCTCAGACCCTTCTGTGCCTCCGTGTCTGTGTTTCTCAGAGCCGGAAAACAATACCCTACGCCCCTGAAAGTCTGACTCAAATGTGTTTCCTCTTCTGCAAACCGAGCTGTCCAACCTATGTCTGGACTGGGCTTAGCCCACCCGAGTCGGCCTGGGAGCGCAGAAGCGGTTCAAAGCGCCTGTGAGCTTTGAGCAGGGCTACGAGGCTCTCTGGTGGTCGCGGTACCTCACATATTTAACACTGGCTCAAGTCCTTCTGAGAGACGGTCCCCAGGAAAAGCCCTTTCAGTGGTGCCCTGACGTCCGTCTGGGAAGCGACGGCCCCGGCGCAGAGGCGCAAACCCACTCGCACACGAGCACGGAAAACACGAGGACGAAACTCCTTCCCGTGAGCTCCAAGCACCAAAAAGCACGACCGGCAGCGACTTTCCAGGATTATCTGCCGTTTGCGACAATCCCCAAGTTGTTTCCAGGGCACAAGACGCTGTCTTCGCGCAGAGGACCCGAGAACGCGCCGCGGAACTTAGCCGGGGGCGAGCACGCGCACGGCGCGCAC